TGCGGATGCAATTTTCATGAAGGAAGTTTCAGGACGCCACCATGCAAGCACCGATGTGAAGTCTCAGGACACTCGCCGGACCAACCGGATTCATGAAAGCATGTCCCAAGACTATCTGTACGCGAGTACACACCCCTCTCCTTCTCCGACACCCGAGAATCCAGACACAGAGGCCTCCCTTGGGTTTAGTGCGGCGTCACTACGCCCCTTGCAATGCCTGTGAACCTGAACCCACAATGTTTCGGACCCTGGGCAGCCAGGCTGGGTCGCACGCTGTCCACCACCATGCTCCGCCGATGAGCCTGACCGACGGGGATTTAATTTAGATGGCTTCATGGCAGGTCTAGCAAGTACCATCAAGAGCTTGCATATAGAGCTTCAGGGACGCAGATGGTCCATTTCTGTCCCGCTGCTCCAACAAGGTAGATAGAAGGTTGAGAGATTCTAACACATGCCATCGTTCGAATTGGCAATACAGGACAACCACTTGATCACAGTCCTGAATGCGTGAGTACTCATCATTCTCAAGCTTGCAGAGCCGTCCGGAACAAGGCGTAGTTTGTGGGAACATCTAATCTGTTCTCCCATGCATGCAGAACTTTTGGAATTGCATTCCGGAAGATACTTTTGCAAGGACTTTGGCCGGAGACTTGTAGTACAATTGAAGCTCAATCTGCAGATCGCTTCTGCGGGATCGGGCTCGCCGACATGACAAAAAAAACTGCCTGGAGATGGAAAAAACACCCCGAGAGATTTGTAGCGTCGGCGCGCATTTTTGCATGTCGGCGGCAGCCAAGTGATGCTACGTCGGCGCATCCTTTTGATGTGCATGTCGGCGCGTATTTTTGGTGTGTCGGCGAGTTCTTTTTGACAGTAATATCTTTTCCCCCAACTCCCTCTGGGTCATTCCTCCTAAATTCCTTGAATTTCATGCGATCTTTTCTGTTGAACTCTTTCTGCGTGTGTTTTTCTTCAGCTCGGCCCATTGTAATGTTGGCACGTCGGTTGTTTTTCCATGTCGGCGCGCGCTTTTTTGTTCCATGTCGGCACTGTTTTGCATGTCGGCACGCATTTTTGGCATGTCCCCGCGCATTATTGGCATGTCGGCGGTTCTTTTTCAAATTAGTGACGTTCAAGTTCCCTCAACCCGCTCAGGGTCATTCCTCCTGACATCCTTGAGTTCCTTTTGAGTTCCTTATAGGAACCTCTCGTCTATTTGGCTCGGTTTGCGCATGTTTTTCCATCTCGGGGTGTTTTAATGTTGGCATGTCGGCCTTGTGTTTTTTAATGTCGGCACGTTGTTTTTTTGCATGCACGTCGGCATATAACTTTGGCATGTCGGCGCGAATTTTGGCATGTCGGCAGAAACCCTTTCTTTGGCATGTCGGCACTTAAATTGAGCATGTCGGCGGAAACCTTGCTTTTTGCATGTCGGCGCGGCTTGTTCTGCAGTCGGCGGAAATCTAGTTTGACATGTCGGCACGCTTTTTGAAACGTCGGCGCGCGGTGTCCCTCGCGCTTCTGCGACCCGCAGCAAAAACGCACCAGAAGCGCGCTTGCTCCTGATCTGGACATCTCAAGGGCCGAAGGGGAAGAGGCAAAGTCTCGAAAGCAACGGTGTGCACAGTGGTGATTGCAGAACGACGTTTGCAACCTCTCCTTCCCCACACTCCCTCTTCTTTCATGTTGTAGATCGATGGACAACGGTTCGCATGTCTGTAAACTTTCTTTCGAAGCCCTAAAACTCGTCGAACAAATAAAAAGAAGTCGTCCTCGCATTTGCGGCCATGGCAGTTGCGGAGCGACCGTCGTAGCAATAGTGAGAATAGTAATCGTTGTAGTAGTGGTAGTGATAGTGACAATGGCAGCGGTAGGTGGCAGAAGAAGTGGTGGTAGTAGTAGGAGCCCGCGCTCTGCGGGGCCACCACGTTTCCAGCGGCTTTTGTCTTAAGCCGTAGCAAGCCATAGCATTTTCCTCGGGGTTTTTGCTACTTTGCCTGCTCATCCGGCTTCAGACTTCGAGGCTTCCCTTATCTTTTTCGGATATTCGGGTTTATCCTTGCTCTCGGACTATCCTTGCTTTCGGCATTTCGGACTTTGATGTTCAGCATGTTTCATCGGGGGGAGGGGTGGGGGGGGATAATGACGTACTTCGGCACCGATTAGCAGAGCCAGGGGCCATGAATTTCGAGCGTGGGCGAGCGTACTTGGCGCTGCTCGTCACGGCGCTTTTGTTGCTGCGCTTGGAAGGGGTTTCGCTATGCTGGACTCCTTCCTGTTGCGAGACCCCAAAGTAGTGCTCAAAATCCACACTCTTAAAACACTTCAGCTTTGTCAAGCCCGAACACTGTAAATTACGATGCGACGGCTGCTCGTTGCTTGCTCCTGTGCTTGCCGGCCGGTGGCCGCGCAATGCGCGGGTACCTAATAGTAGAGTAGCAGTCGCAGTAGCAGCAGCAGCAGTAGTCGTCGTCGTCGCAAGTATGGTGGCAGTGGTAGTGGTAGCAGTAGCAGTAGTAGTAGTAGTTGCAGTTGCAG